TAGTATCAGTTAGCGTGTTAAGCCCATATACCTTATTCTAGGTTTCGGACATTCCATTCTATTCAGTCTACTTGAGTCATATGTTGACCTTGTCAATTATTCGCTTGTCAGTCTTGATTGTTTTTATATGAACGCATATGTGTGTACCCTTCTTATCTCATTAATCACATGTCTGTAGTTTATTTTGTCTGACCATAAATACTGAGTAACGCCTGACTAAAATGGAGTTGGCTTCCCAGCCATCTTCCATACAATCTGAAATGGATTCAGATCTAAGGGCCATCAAAAATGGTGAACACGCCGACGACGAACGCAACGCAGCAAGCTACGTCGATGAATGAACGTCGGCACTCCATATTTTCGACGACTAAAATGATGCGCCTTTCGACGAACATCACCCGATTTAAACGACGACAAAACCACGAGGCCTCCCAAAAATGGTAAACCCGCGGATGACGAACAAATTCAGCGAAGCCAGCACAATCTACAATCCGACGAAATCAGCACAGCCTGTGCAACATGACATGCACATGTTCAAGTCTAATTATCTTATCGATACTTTGTCCTCATGTCAACTATTCTCACTGATCCATTCGTTGGTTTGCCCCATTACTATTCGAATTGTCATTATATGCTTATTATTACATTATTCTCAATATCATGACCGAATGTGGAATTATTAATCATGTTCGTGCCGTCATTAAATTATGACATTTTCGTAATCATACTGTTCACCGAACAAATTATCATTTTTATGAACACTCCACTTCATGACATTCAAAACTCACTGGAATATTTTTACTATTCAAAAACGTAAAATTTTCCTGCTTTAAGTGAGTTCGTTCCAATTTTTTTCATGTCATTTGATCTAATATTACATTCATTCACTTAGTCGAGGTCATTATTTTATGTTATCATAACACACATTCTATATTTCAAAATCGCCTATTATGTCTGTGGATGCCTCTAACTAGCTGATTAGTAAACATTATGTCCATCTTATCTATTCTTCCACATGTATAACCAAATGCCGCATCATTAATTACCCAAAAACATTATTCGAGTACTGCAACTACTATTCTATACCCATCACACGGTATATCAGAACATAGAGTTTAGAGTTAATCTTTCAAAGATACACTCTTGTTCGTCATATCCAAGTCAGTGTCATACGTCGCTATCGCTAATCATATGTATTGGTATTTTTGTCATGCCTTGGTACAGTTTTGTAACAAACGAGATCGAGCGCATCTTCCTCAAACCACACAAACCACTCTAGGCTTCATGACCAAAAAGGAATATGACTCTACGTACTTCGTCTACTCTGTCAATGTTCTGTTCCTTTGGTCATTCTACTAATACATATTTAACGATAACTCAATGCATCTGTCATAACGCAGACGACAATGTTCACTGACTTCACATTTTATGATTATTATCAATTGCAGTACAGCAACGAATATCACCCGTCAATGCAGTTATCATTTCACGACTTGACTATTATTATCCTACGAACGGGAACTATGCATTTAAATTCGAATTCACTCATCGCTAGTCGATGCTATCTATTCTACTGCGGTCCAACAGAACATATATTTAACATATTTCGCTATTCTGTCAGCATCACAGACTAATTACTGTCATATTCTACTTTACTTATTTTCACAATTTAATTCGCTGTCATACCCACAAACAATTTATTATTATTTTCACGATATTTTGAATCACTCACACAAACTTGTTTTATCGTTCAGACAGACATAGCATTAGTACATATTAATATTTTGCACGCTCATTATTTTCTCATATTCGCATGTTAACGTTTCCATTTTTGTCCGAGCATTTTGTATATTGATGTATTCTTTTGCATAAATATGACACTTTCATGTCGTACACTCACCCCTCATGTGACACCGTACTTTATCGAGTGTTTTAGACTGTTTTGCTACTTAGTGTTAACGTTAACTTCATATCACATCACAGTTATTTTCGAAAACAGACATTTTTTAAATGTGCTATTTTCTACAAGGGGGCTATGTAGTATCAGTTAGCGTGTTAAGCCCATATACCTTATTCTAGGTTTCGGACATTCCATTCTATTCAGTCTACTTGAGTCATATGTTGACCTTGTCAATTATTCGCTTGTCAGTCTTGATTGTTTTTATATGAACGCATATGTGTGTACCCTTCTTATCTCATTAATCACATGTCTGTAGTTTATTTTGTCTGACCATAAATACTGAGTAACGCCTGACTAAAATGGAGTTGGCTTCCCAGCCATCTTCCCTGTGCGTCATTTTACGCTGTTCTGTTACATTCACTTTACATACGAAATATATGTATTCAAAGGCTATTCTCGTTAATTGACTTATCTAAATTCCGTTATTGACTAATGTGATTTAAGTCGACGATTATATACGAGAATAGGCGATAGCAAACATCCATTGATCTAAATTGGAGTTAGATCAATCGGGCCAATAAACGTCCTTCAAAAATTCAATATTAGCGTCCCACTAGTAACGAAATCCACCAAGAAATCTAATACTAAATACATCTAAAATATTCGTGGTGAAGTGATACCAATAGACTGTTCTTTTTCCACTCTCTTCTTGTTTTGAAGAGGCTTGGGTGCTTTTTTAATGCCAGTCAGCGATGGTGATGTTAAATTAGTAGTAAGTGTACTTTTATGGCAAGAAAAAACAGTTCATTTACTTACTTCTCTGTAGTTTCATGATGTTTTAAAAAAAGGCCATAGATATTCAGGGTTCGAAAACGCTTTTTTACCTAGTACTATTATAATTGAAAGGTACCAGCTCAGTCAAACCAGAAGCCAGGCATGAATGAGTTCAAAGATTTATTACAAAAGTTACTCATAAGTTGAAAAGCGTTTGACCTGAACTGTCTAGTAGTTGCAAGGGATGCATAATACGTCTTACTCACTCATGATGTTGTAAGGATACGTGAACAAGTGTTTTCAGCAACACGCTAAGGTCAACATCTATGTCAAATGCCTGCGGAACCAACTATTTTGGAGATTTCTTAACCACCACGATGAAAAGCTGCACATTTCACGCTTCTGAAAGACTGAACAACATCATTGCTGCTGTAGTGACACAGACGAGAACTTAATTAAAATATAGTGATATAGAGAATAAATAGTATTGCACGAAACTGGATGTTGAAATCTGTAAAAGTATCACTCATAGGAAAACCATATATTTCGAGAGACGAAAGTAGTAATGAAGAACTAGTAATAGATGTTTGTTTAAAGTTCGTTTTGGGCAATTATCACAAATAGAGCACACAGAACTAGTGAATATTCTTATATGTGCTTGACGCCGACAGTTTAGAGAGAAATTTATTTAAACCAATGATCCTTCGTAGCTAAGAATTGCTAAAATGGCACATAGCAGTATTATATGCTTTGGTCATATTCTTTCTTCAATGAAGCGAATCGGGAAAAATGTAAGTAGGCAAAACGCACGGAAGTATTATTTGGTTTACAGGTAGTATGTATTAATAACTAGTGCAAATAAATGACAGATTTTGAGAACGATTGAGATGTTAATGCAATATGACAGAAAAGCGAAGGTATTACGTTGATTTTGAAAAAATCTTCAGGTTTACTAGTCATAATACTCTCTTTAATAAAAATACTCTCTACAACACAAGTTTTATGCAACGAACGTTAACTACAATTTTTTAACAGAGATTTCGAAAAGTTTTGAAGTCTTACCCTATTTAATCTTGTCACAAATAGTCCACTAGAACATGACCATCACACTCCACAAAGTAAACATCCTAAATTCACCTTCTTCCGATTTCACTGTCTGTTCCTGATGCTTGTCTCGCAATTTACTTAGTTTTATTATTGCAAGATATTCTCGACATATCCCTGTCATCCCAATACCCCTTAAACTTCGGATTCATTCTACTGCCTGAGCAACTGTCTAGACTAGTTGACTTATTTATTTGTTCACTAACGGAAACAATTATGTTTTCTTAGTATTCAAAAATCAAAATTTTTTCACACTACAATCAGTCAACCTTCTGCTTGTTAATGTGATAGCTATTGATTTTGGAATTCTTACTGTCCTGTAATAGATGCCATCATTCAGATCGTCAAATATATGGTGGATCTCAACAAATGAACTTTTTCAAGATATGACTATACGCACTAGTGCTGGTGATACACCAAAATATTAGCACCGCAAACCGAAGTGTCTTTTTCTGAGTGAAGCAAAATGGTATTACATAGTACTTGCGACAAAATGATATATTAAATAAAAAAGAGGTTAAGATTTCTATGAGATGAACTTTATTTGTGTGCTTTTTTCTGAGATGAAAACCACAATTGAGCTCACTTGATGAACGAAGATTCCTCTGCACGTGGTGTCACCAACGACGTAATGAGAAAGATTAAATCCAATAGCATTACTCAATAATGTATCTGAACCAGAACTCCGACGCAACGTAGAATGATCTAAAAGAATGTTCTGACACTACTTTAACCCTCACTTACAGGCCGTGATTATTAAATTAGAAGGATAGCCGACAGAGAAAGCGTTTATTTGAATGACAATGGTAGTGTATGTGTTAGTACTGCCTGTAGTGTTGGTTACTTTGCTAAGCCTATACACCTTACTCTAGCTTCTGGACAGGCCAATTTATTCATTCTTTTTAAGCCATGTTCTGACCTTCTTAATTACTCCCTTATCAACCCTGACTGTCCTTATATGAGCGTATGTGTGTGTACGTCTTGTCCAACTCATCTGATGTCTGCAGCTTATTTTTGTGTGACTATAGATATCACTTATCACTTAATTAAGTGAAGTTGGCTCACCTGCCTTCTCCATCGCGCGCCACTTCAATGCTCTCTCTTCTCTTCGTTTCACTAACTGTAATACAAACCCACAAATGACTACTACAATAGCTAAACTCAGTGCAACCGACTGACAAAACCATCATTCATTGGACATTTTCAATCGCTGAGAACCATATTGGATCTTTGAGAATTTAGTACAAAGAATCAAATATATATATACAAGCTCATCTCAAGGATGTTGGACATTGGATTAACCAAAGGTCGACTTTCATTTCGTTGTGGATACATTATTTGAGGTCGTTGTATTATTTTGAAAAATCTGGACATGCTAGGATTTGGTGAACAGACGGAAAATTCTACTCACATTCGTGACAACTTGAAAGCTGAAACTCCTCAATTGAATAATGCAAAGCGCAAACTGGGATTAAGAGATTTGAACATTCAGCAGCATGTTCATGTGCAGTCAGAAATAATGCGACCCTCTAAAACTCTAGTTCCCGAAAAAGTATATAAGGAAGCATGTGAGAAATTCTGTGCCTATGAAGACAAAGGTTGTGCTCATACAGAACAGCTTTTATTGCAGATGATTACGGTGATTTATGCACTCGCCTTGATAATATAAACTCACTTGTGGATGGAGTGATTTCTCTTTCTTGCATGAGTCATTCTTCAGATTTCGTTGAGTTTTCAATGAATGGTAAGGTCTGTTGCCTTTTATTAGTATTTGTAGACGATGGTGATGAATTTGATCCATCAGATTTCGAAATACCGGATTCTGAATTCAACACAATGTTCTGTTGTCTTGGCTAGGAAGTTATTATGTCAATTTAATTCATTCTCAGAAATGCTTTAAATACAAGTATCTCACTATTGAGTGTCAACTCCAGTTTTTTCCCACTCAGCCTATTTTTTGTGCCATTTACGTTTATGTACCCTTTTTAATCTGTCAGGTTCCAGCGTTAGATATTGTACGCTGGAACGTCAATTAAATTCTCTCTCATGTACTGTATAATCTTCTTGCTTTTATGAATATTGGGTGGTCAGTGGGGGACTTGGTTATTCTACACACAAGTCAATATTGCACTATGAAACCGCTTCACTTTTGTTAATTTAAAGTTTCACCAATTTTTATCTTAATTTTAGTCATCTTGATATTTAGTACTATAGAATGGTCCGTGCGTGTATTTGCGTTATCTGCAACCAATGTTTTACGTTATTTGAAGTTTGGCTGTTGGATAGTTTTGCCATAGTTTGTGATACTGTTCTCTCTGTTTGACCCAAGGTCACATTTAAGTTATATGCCGAACAGGAGTCTGATGTCAATTACTCTCAACAGCAGGTGTATCTGAAATGGAAAACAAACTTAGTGTTGATAAATATCTCTTACACTTCACAGGCGTCAATATAGTGGCTCATGAAACTATGCGAACGCCAGTTTAAGTGATTTCTAATTCTTCCTTGTGTTACATTATTGATTTAGTTATCTCTTACGAAGCACCTTAATGGTACTTTTCAGAGACATGACTAGGTCTCTATCCTTCACTATAAGGATTCAACAAATGAACCTTGCATAGAAGCAGCAGTAAACGTGATGTACCCAGAACTGATCATTTCAGTTCACATTATTACTGTACGAGTATGGTCTCGTTTGGAGTTTACGGTTGTTTACGTCCTTTCTGTAGTTGTGAGTTATAATTTAAATGATGTCAAACTCCTCATCATCTGCTCTAGATTTACTTAGTTTAAGATAATCTTTGTAGTATAATTAGTGGAGAAAGTAAGCAGAAGTCTAAACATTTTCTATAAAAGTTACTTCACTGCACTTCTTTTATGTAATGTACTAGTATACTTGCTGTAGTTAAGCTGCCTGATGTTGGTCACGTCTCCATCTGTTGTGGTTAATTGATATACTTTGGAATCTGTTGATATTCATATTCTAAAACTGATTGCTGGTAGATGTTTATTTACATAAAAGTTAATAACCGATGAGGCCATTTTGATAGGTAAATATCTTACAAATCATTCGAATATTGACTCATACAAAATTCCAAAGGTGTTCATATTTTAATGCTCTCATCGACTATCTACTTTGCGATTGTAAAAAGCAGTGCATGTTTTAAGTTTGCGTGATTGCTTAGGAAGAACGGTTTTGTTCTGACATTTAATTCTGGTTGGAAACAAAACTCAGTCTTAATGTTTAAGGGTTGCTTTTCTCTTTAAAGAACGATCCTAAGACTTACAAATAGCGTGGATTTTCTGGTATCTTTTTGCATTGTCCTGGCATACTTGTTATATTTACTGGTTTTTCCGTCCACTCTTAACTACAAAGACCTATCGGAGTCAAGTGCAAAATCATGTAAGGTTTATCACGAAAATCCTGTACACATAAACCATGAAATCATGAACTAGAAAACATTTGCACGATCAAAGTTCTCGGAAGATACTTTCACTTCGATAGCATTGACGTTAGGTTTGCTAATTTAGTATTTTGGCGATAAAAAACTCGAAATATTGACAGAAGTCAAGGTGTGCGTTTTGTAATTGAGATATAAGCGTCACATCTTAACCTATTTTCACTCAACCTTCTTAATATGAAGTCATGAAGAAGGTTCAGCACGTTAGCTTCATTTATTGACATATTTTTTTAGTACAAATTTAACCAAACCTCACAAGTGGTGAAAACGTCTTTCAGGGATTGTTGCGTGCAGCAACAGAAGTTCTTAGAAATTGTTTATCAATTTTCAGATTTATTGCGTAATGACCTAATTGTATTTTACTGTGATGTCATATTTTAGATACTAGGTTACGTAGTTTTAGCCATTATTAGTATGTACTCGTCACCTGTGTGTCTTAGTGGTTGGTGGTGTAGTATGGAGTAGAAAACAACTAGTTGATGAGGTTGAAGACAGAAGGCCAACAACTCGCTTCAGCGCTCACTATGCGGAAAATTGAGGAAGCTCCTCAAGAATGGCTACCCTAACAGCTTCACCATAAAGTGTCTAGTGAATTACCACCATTAAAGAACCAACTCTGGAAACTAAAATATGTCGTCCAACCATGTATGAGAAATGTTTCGAAAACCAGTGCAAGGATTCTGAGGCAACATCGTTTACAAACCAGTACGATCGGTTCATTCTATTCTACACAGACCAAAGACAATAACGAAAATCCCATCATCTGGAAAATAAGTTGCATCAACCTCAAAAAATATTCGATTTGACAAGCGGTCGTCCCCCTCACCTATGTACAAATGGATATAGGTCAGCGGTGTCCCGACATAATTTCCAATCACTTATATTAGTGCATCCAGACAACTATGGATATTAATTCAATCAGAGAAACATTAAAACTGGGATCGAGAAAACTCCGAAAATCCTAGCCAATTTCTCAGGAAATGGCATTTAGACAGATTAGCTATCATCAGAAATCGGTATAAACCCGATCTGTGAATCTTTATGTAGGTGATCAAGGCCAAGAGTCAACTGTTAGAAATAATTACCATAAATACAAGGACACATGGCGAGGAAAATATCTACTAATACATCCAATAACAAACAAGGCTATCGGAGAAAACTGATGTAGCACTTGTTGAGCAACCGGAAAGTTCACTTATATACACAATAGGCTCTGGAGGTGTTCAAAGTGACAACGGGAATTCTCTGATGCCGCCAAAGAACACCGTCAAAATCGTCAGCCTGAGCTGCTGATCTTCATAAACTGCAGTTAGTGGAATACGTCAGCTCTTTCTAGACGTCATGTAATTTGATGTTATTTTAATGAAAGTTAGATTATAGTGGAGGAATGATCATTAGGGATGCACTAAGGCATAGATGGGACCCGTTTATTTTGTGTCTTTCTAAGCTGAAGGACTCGTTGATAAGATCTAAGAACCGTAGTTACTAATTGGGGACGTATTCTTCACCTCGTTTTAAGTAGTTTGTTGTCTATTATTCCATCTTTTTTTATGTACTTCTGCACTATGGTCAATGTGGATAGTGGCTTGATATAACAATCAAACAGACTAGCACATTGTTTATTGCCGTCTTAACTTGTTCCTGTATAGGTAAAAGGTTCATACCGAGAGCTCTGCTCAAATGGATTAAGCCTGAAAGCATGTTAGTCGCCAGGATTCTAGTTTGGATTAATTTATTGTGTTCCAGGTGAAACGTATGTCAGACTGTTGTGAAGTACCAAATATCAGTAATTGGATAAGATGTGCCTACCTACTTGACTTGATTGGCTGGCATGCTCCTTGTCACTATGTATTTGAATATTTAATTATCCAGAGGGACATTTACAGAATGAAGAAATTTTTTCATATCTCTACTGGTTGTCCTAGTAACATTATAGTACCAAGTACCCAAAGATGTTGTTGTGTTAACTTAGTATGATTACATGAATAATGTCTTAGTATGTGTTATATGAATGCTTATTAGTGTGAAAAATCAGAAAAAATGTTTTACAGGAAACAAGACACTAAACTGGCGGGTAATACCGACGTAACTCGAAACAAGATTCCTGTATAAACCGTAACAGTAATTGGTGGGACGTCTTTATCTAGTCTACCTCTGACTTAATTATGTGACAAAATATTTACTAATCAAAACTCAAATGAGGAAATTTACACTTCGGGTTAAACTTCTTTTCAGACATTTACATCTCACTTAACTTTAGAAATGGATCATGTAAATGCATCTATTTAAATAAACTTGGATACAGTGAAATTAACTGGTATAGAGCTGCCGTGTTACGCTACGTTTATCTATGAATTTAGTATTCACCTTTCTAATGGAAATTTATTTTATCAATAGTATTAACTAAACTAATTTTAAGACCAAGATTGTAACTAAGAAGCTTTATCGTAGTATATTTTCAATAAAGAAAGTAACAATCAACTGGAAATAAGTTGTGTACATTTTCACTATATCCGTTGTAATCAGTCTCAGCCGTAATACGGGCGCTTCTGTATGCTTCCTAAAAAGAAAAAAACAATGTGTATAATGACTTATTGAAGTCCAAATAATTATAAAGATAATCTAAAGTTATGATTTTCATTGTACTAGTTTTAAAGAAACGTTGAAGACTAATGTACTAGGGTGTTGCGTAACTATTACGAATAACTATAAAAAGGCACATCAATGGATAACCTGAATAGCCAATTTGAAAATTCGATTGCGCTGACACGAGTATAGTTTTCTATCTTTTCAAACTTTTCAAGTTTTTCTGTATTTCTGCTATAACATACAAAGAGAATGTGACATCAAGATTCATACTTATCAGTACGTACATAAAAGTAATATATAAACATTCTCTACACTGTTTTACTAAAATGGAGTTTACAGCTTACTAAAGCAATCGGGTTTTTATCTCTATCAATCTAACTCAGTTCATTTTACCTAGTCATCCCTATTTTGAATCTCGTTTTACAAATTACGAAACCATAATTTTCATAAAGTGAAACCGATTTGGGATGTGTGATATAGTCTGCGAGAATCATGTTACTTTCAATTATTTTGACGGCGTGAATTTACCGTACGTTAAAAACAGCATAATGCATTCATAAATTGTAATGAAGATGGGGATTATAAAAATAATTGGAAAGTTACTAAGTTAATCGCTCTCATAGTTTCACGCTTGAAGGACAGGATTTTAATACCTAACAGAACATTGAATTCGTTTACAATAAATCATAGTAAAGGCTGTCAGTATTTCAGATGCAGGATAACCACTTGTGCATTTTACCTTCTCAAAAATTAAGCACCTTAAGGATCTAACCTTCCTCACTGTATAGACAAATTTTCAAAAGTATGTAATTTCCTACCGCTTATTATTTTATAACTACAATAAGTATATTGAAATTTGCATGAACCTCAAATGCAGTAAAAACACGCATATTTGTACCTGTAGTTACATACTATTGTTAAATTTTCAAGAAAATTACTTTGTAACAATCAGATGGCATTTTTCAAACTAATATAATCAAAGTAATGTAGACAGCCTTCGTTGGTGAGCGCATTTATGTTTAAACAAATAGGTCATAAAAACATTGTTTGAAATTTTATTTGCAATTCAAATTCAGCTATATGACTCGATAAAATAAATTCTCTTAACATTTTAAAAAGCAACCAACTAATTAATTACTTGGATTATTATTTTTTGAACGAATGCATTTTTTCAACCAAATGTCAATTAAATCTTCAATGTAAGGATCATCTGTACGATAATCGCTCGTGTCTCTAAAAGCATTTCGTGCAACTTCCGATTCCATTTGACATATAGCTGTGACTGAAATAACAATAAATTAACACAAAAGTGGTTGTGTATTTTGCTCAAATTATGAAGTACTTCATGAGATTGTATATTAGATTTGATTTGAAAGATGACAGATGCTGTATAGGAGTGCTTTCCGGAACAATCAACATAATATGTGTTTAAGAAAAAAAACTATTATAAGCAGTGAAAATATGCTATATTTTGGGTGAATTCAAAATTGCCAACTTTCTCAACAACTAATGATTTATTTAGTTGTTATGATTATAAAGTGTAATTACAGATTGTTGAATGGACGCATTATTAATGCATAGTTGCGATTCTTTTCAAATGCAGAATATCTATGTCATCTACCTAATGAAACTGCCAGGGAAGTCTTACTCACAGCCTTCTCTGAACAAGGGCGCCTTTTGCGAAATTAAGAAGGCGAAAAGCAAATATTCGGCGCTTTAGTCGGGTTGGTGGACACGGGAGTCCACCTCGGGGAGTTGGAAAACTCTGATTCCAAACCAATGGTGCACATGAGTCTCAGGACAAAAGACATATTAACCTAGTGTAGACCACCGGCTACCATAGGACTGCATCTCTTGACTTTGCTCCACTGCCTTGTGGACTAGACCTTTAGGTCAATATTACTGGGTGTGACCTCCTAAGAAAACCGCCTGCTTCGATTTAGGCACCCGGGTAGTAGTATCAAAGCCTTAGCACAACCCAAATGATGATTAATACCGGAAAAATTATTCTTGCTTCAACTCTTATTCAAACAAACCTCACAATCATTTGATAACATTCGTTCTTATTTCTTTTATACTTATTTGTTCCCCTATGTTCTCATTTTGAGTAATTTATTTTTCAATTTATACAGCAGCTCGATTATGGTGAAACCCCTGTCCCGTCTAAATGACATCGAGTCACTGACTGGTCGAAAGTTGAATGCTACCACAGAATATGAATACTGAAACCACATAAAGCATTCAACTTGGCCTCCCTCAACGTTCTGACAATAATGCAGATCGGACAACAGATATAATCGGCTATGTCTTTAAAAAGTCCTAATATCGATGCCTGTTGCCTATTCGAGACCAGTATTCAAGGCTCTAGTGAAGTACTACGAATTCTCTCTCCATCTTTTGCTTTGGAAAGCTCGTTTCGCTTGCGTTTATCCGGGGACCCTGTGGCATATTCGTCCGGTTTTGTTGGCGTTGATGCCGCACTAAGCGCCAGAGCTGCGGCAGCGCTGATAGATTGGACCCCCATTAAAAGTCGGTTATATACCGTGAGGTTAGAAAGTTCTTCAAAGCACGGAGAAATCGGTGTGGGAAGCAATGTCATTTCCTCATCTCTGCATACGTTTCGATAGATCGCGGCCTAGATGCAATCAATGGTGAGTTTCGCCGTCAATTAACTGTCCTTCTACAAAAGATTTAGATGTTCAGAAAAGAGTCGTTTTGGTGGTCAATGAGGACTTGTGACCGTGACCACCGTGACCGTCTACTGCATCTGTGCGCAGACTACAAACTGTTTCTAGTTAGCACTGACTACCGACACAGTCATAGCTGGTGTTCAACCTGGTGTCCTCTTTCTTCACCTCAAGCTTGGACTCAGACTGATAACATCACGATCAGCTGCCAATGGTGTGGTTGTGTACGAGACTGTCACTACTAGCTAGCAATCAGCCTACCTAAAAATAGAGATGAGTATTGATTGCAATTGCATGACGCCATGGATATGGCAATTGAATTTGCTTGCGGCTTCGCGAAAAGTTCCACTGTCTGTGAAGATGACGGGATGCCAATTAATAACATCTGTCGACGTCTTGAACAATGAGCAGACTTTTTTGAAGAGCGGTTCAACTGGTCTGCTACCCCGGCAACACCAGTCAGACTGTCCTACCTTCCATGGCCTGTCACGACGGATCCACCTAAAGAGGCGGAAGTCCTCAAGGAACTCTTGAAGCGCTTCAAACCAGCAGTCCCATGTGACTTACCTCCAGTCATTTTTAAAATGGTGACTTTCTGGTCAAGGAACTGTCTGAGTTGTTTCCAAAGGTCTGGCAACTGAAGTTTTCCAACATCGTGAAATGAGTCGATAATTGTTTTTATCTATAAAGAGGGTTCACGCCGTTTCCGCAAGAACTGTCGGGCGATAAGTGTACTTCCGATTGCGTTTGGAACTATTGGTTGCCGTCACACTTCGTAGATCGTTCAAAACCCGAGAGAGACTGACTCGCGAGGAGCAGGTTGATTTTTGTTCTAGTCGAGGATGTATTGATCATATCTTCACACTCTTTCAACTGTTTGAACACCGTCATACTTATCACAGACCAACAGTGGTAGTGTTTCTTGACATCAGGGCTCCCTTCGATTCGTTGGACGGGACTGCTCTCTGGGATTGTCTATCGAAGAAGGGTGTGCTTGAGAAGTTCATTAACATCCTAAAGGCCCTATATACGAACACCTCAGGCAGAGTGAGGGCACACAACGACCTATATCCATTGTTCCATTCAAGCAGTGGGGTTAGGAAGGGTTACCCAATCTCAAAATTTCTCTTTAACTTTGCCATCTATGACATTCTGGAAACAGCTCTGAGGGATGTAAGTAATGGTGGTGTGGATCTGTTGGCTGGAGAAAGACTTCTCGACCTTGAGTATGCGGATGATATTGTCTTATTGTGCAATAATGCCCAAGGCATGCAATCCGCACTTAATCAGTTCGCAATCAATGTCCATAGGTATGGTATGTGCTTTGGACCTTCGAAGTGCAAAGTACTTCTACAAGACTGGCAGGATTCTAACCCTGTACTCACTCTGGATGGTGAACAGATAGAAGTAGTCGAGAAGTTCGTGTATCTGGGTAGCTGCATAAGTGCTGGTGAAGGTGTGAGTGATGAGACCAATGCACGTATAGTGAAAGCCAGAGCGGCTTATGTCAATCTGGGCCATCTTTGGCGCTTTCATGATGTTAGTCTGGCTGTAAAAGGTCGGATCTACAATGCGTCGGTGAGAGCAGTTTTGTTCTATGCTTGTGAAACCTGGCTTCTCCGAGTTGAGGATGTTAGACGACTCTCTGATTCGGTCATCATTGTCTCTGAAGGATTGCTGATATCCACCGGCAACACCATGTTAGTAATTCAGAGGTTCGACATCGTGTGTTCGGGCACAGCGTCGATAATTCAATTGATGTCACGATCTTAAAACATCGACATCGGTGGCTTGGAAACGTTCTACGGATGTCATACCGACGCTGGGACTGGTTGGTAAAAGTGGAGAGGTGGTCATTGTATGACATGGCGACGTAGTATGAAAGAAAGCTGTGCGGGACTGGCCTCTGCTGGAACTTCACGGCTCCTCGGTTGGTGTTCTTGATGTGGTGCAACGTAGTGGTTAGAGACATTATCAGACATGGCTCAGAACAAAAGCCAGTGGTGATTCTGCTGTAACCTTCTTTTACTTTCTTCATAAAAAGTGGTTGTATCCTCCTCAATTAAAAGAATTCTTCTGGTTGTACCTTTCCGTTTCCCTCATTATTATTGTTATTATTATTATTATTATTATTATTATTATTATCCCACTATCATACACTGATTTATGTTCGTCTTTGTTCTATTTTTCATATATGCATTTTACTTTCTCTATCCGTTCACGTTCTAATTGTTATTGTGTAGGGCATACGTATTAGGTGCTTCTTTGCGCTAATGTTTATGTGTTCAAATAAATAAATAATAAGTTAATTAAACATCTGTATCTTGTTGTTTGTAATATTAATTGATATAGTTCTAATGAATTAATGAGTATTTAAGTGTTTAAAGAATTCCACAATTGTATTAAAGAACAGGGAATTGCTTTTATAGTCAATTCAGCACAATATATACATTTATTCACCTATTATATCACTATATAGAACAACTTTAATATATTAGACATAATACAGTCCATAGTCTTTGAATAATAGTAATTCCAGTTTAATTATCTAAATTGTTTAGTTATTACAATAAGATTAATATTTAAATAAAAATCGAGTTATTTTTTTTTAGTAGAACTAAAATAAATAGAGCATAAGCCTAGGAGTCATTTACTTTGTCCATTTAATATTATTATAGTCAATCTAATAAATAGATAACTAAAAGAATTTATAATTGTAAACTATTAGTCAGATGATATGTCATATTATAAAGAATCTCAGTACACACAGACAACTACAACCACAAATTCTATAATTTGATCTTCTTCAAATTGACAGAACCTAACAAATTTCCAAATAAAGAATTTCATAATAAGTTTAATTAAATGCAAATGTTGTAGATTATTAAATAAGGATTTGACTACATGATTTCTAGTTAGTAAGTCACATAGTCAATACTTTTCACATCTACTTCAGTTAAGTCAACCACTTAATTCTGATAGAACTTATATCATTGAGAATATAAACAAAGTGACTCTTAACAAGAAAAAAGAATTAATTACACATGTAAGTGTTAAGATAGCGGAAATAGCATATAAACATGAGCTTATTTCTTAATTAATATGAAGTTGAATTATTTGAATTACTAGCCTTTTGTAAGCAATGATGGATAGTGGCTGGCAGTGGGATATCCACATACATATTAAGTTTGTGGTTGCTTTTATCAGTCAATCTTTTGTATGTCATCCTTACGAAAGTCTTTATAATGTTAGTAATAGATGTACAACTAAACTAGTGAAAAAAACTTATCAGGACTCAGTAGCTGAGTGGATAAAGCGATGGAGATTAAAGCGAATGGTACTGGGTTCGAGTTCCAGAGTGAACATCAACTCTGAGATGAAGGTACATCCAGCTGACGAGTGCCAAATAGGACAAAACGCGCGTCCTAGATCCCACTGCTAGCCACTATCCATCATTGCTTACAAAGTGCTTATGAATTAAGCCAATATCGAGGCATACGCATAGTATGCCCATATGCCAATAACATACTGATCAATTGCAGTCTTAAACGTCAATGGGAAGATACACGCCAAACAATACCAAGTGTATTTGAAT